TAACTGTGCAACTTAGAACAAGGCACAATGGGTTGCGAGACCGTTCGTAGTCAGTTTGGGTGCCGGATGGTGGAGCGGCTCGGAAACTACCAGCGCCCGGGAGAAGACGAGTATGGTCGACTCTTAGGCTATTCCCAAGAAACCCTAAGGTATTCCGCACTTTACCAAATCGCTACAACTGAGCTGTCATCTGCAGTTAAGCTAAGCACGAAGTCATGAATATGCAAACGACGGTATACAAGCGCGGACCGGCAGCGGGACAAAGCGCTAGATTACTTTACATAGTAAAATAGCTGTAGACTATTCGCCTTAAGTTATAACTAAAATGCCACAGCAACCTTACATGGACAACTTTAACGCTGGGAAGACGGGGTTACCAGAAAAGTTAAAATCATTAATGAAATCCTATTAATAGTTAGCATGCAGTTCCTAGGACTCTCCAAACCGAGGTGCAGTAAGGGTTCAGTGAAGAGCTTTCGCAGTCCTATCGAAGACCCAAGTTAAGTTATTTTGTGATGGTGCGTAGGGGCGATTTAGAACAGTAATAAGCCATACTAGAATAGTGAGGGATAGAACCGAAGGTCTGACAGGTCGACACAAGTTATGGTTAAAGGTTTCCAGTCTTTGAACCAGCGGATTACATTCTACACGAAACCGGGCGCACGTGCCTGCGATCATCAATTAGCTACCAGATGCCACAAACGGTATTGGGGTAAAGCGACCTTTCTTAATTCATTGGCTTTATAAAGTTGGTTGTAAAAGCCGGTATGGAGTAAGCGTAAAAATCTAGTCGTCATAGCCAGAGGGCAAAAGATTCGCCGTTGTGTGTGTATCCAGGAAATCCAGTAGGAAAAGAAACAGCATGAGACGTCCTTCTGCAGCGAATCCATGTTTAAATGACACGTATAGACTTAAGTTCGCGTATGAAGTAGCGAAATAATGGAAAAGCAACCAGGTCGCAAAAACGAAGCAACCCACAAACAACTGTAGGGTTGAGTCCGGCAAGTAAACAGAACATCCTTACTTACACCCACCACAGATACACGAGTCCAACAAATTTCGAAAGTGTTCGAAGAAGGCGTTTACGACACGATATGTCCCTAGCTATCTTACCGAAGAAAAATATGTGCGATTTGCTT